GAATTTTTGGATCATTCTGTGCATAAATTATGATTTTTTGCGCCGCAGGCGAAAATTTTGAGAATTATAGAAAGCTCTAGACCAAAAACTGCACTTTTTTCTGCGCCGCAGGCGAAATTTATTTCTATTTTGAAGGCTAATAGGCCAGATTTCTTCCTTTTTCAGAAAAGGTAAAGACGGCAAATGCCTCCCAAATGAGCCTGGTACAAACTAAAACAGGGTGATATGCACACTTCACCGATATTACCATTAAGCATAAAAATATAATACATACATATACCTAACTCAATATAATATAGTTTGATTGTGAGTATAGAACATAATATGAAAAATTTATGTACAAAAACATGCCGTTAATTGAAAAAATCAAAAATAATCTTTTAAATTATACGCTGAAGACTCTTCAAATTCAGATTTTAGCGCCGCAGGCGAAAATTTTGTGAATTATCAATACCAAAGTGGAAAATTTTTTATTTTTTGGCTAAGTTTTGGCCTAAAAAATAGGTAATGTTTCGTTAACGAAACACAGGTGTTTCGTTAACAAAACGAAACGAAACAAATTAAAAAGTGTTTCGTCACGAAACGAGACGAAACAGTAAAAAACATAACGAAACTAACGAAACAACGAAACGAAACGAAACGTTTCGCCCACGTCTGGTTCAGACCTAAATTACACCCTAATATATGTACCTAAATCATTTTTTATTTTAAAATAATTTTGAAATAAATTTAAAATTACAATTTTAAACTTTAAATTACAGTACAATCAAACAATCAAAATAAGCAAGAAAAGAAAGCAAATAAACAAAGAAAACAAGTTTTTGCAGAAAAAGAAGAAGAATATTTTTTAATTAAATTTAAAAAAAAGGTGAGAAATCAAAAACTTTTTTTAAAAAAATTTTATTTTAAAATTAATATATTTTTTTAAAAAACAAAAATATTCCTAATCCTCGAAAATTTAAATATTTAAAATATTTTACTTTACAAATTTTTAAATTCAAAAATTTATTTTTTATTTTTATTGATTTATATTATTTTTTAAGGAAAAGCAAAAGGATGTTTTAAATAAATAATTAAAATGCCAACAATCAGAAATAAAAAAAGATTTTTTAATTTTACTAATGGATAAATGAAAAATTGTTTCCACCGTCTAAAATGCCAACCATCAATTTTTCTGTATGTGTTAAGTAGAGGGAAAATACAGGGTGCGCCATAAGTAACCGGACACTTTTAAATTCCTTATAACTTTTTTTGTTGTCAATATTTTTAATTGATTTTAGGCTTATTTTTTAGCTCATTCAATTCTCTATTATGGCTAGTCAACGTGATTCTATAATCTCACTTTTTTTACAAAAAAATTCAGTCCGCAAAATTTCATCTCTTTTGAATGCCCCATATAGCACTGTACAATACACAATCAAAAAATTCTGGTGAAAATTTTTTGGGAGAAAAATTTTTTAAATTAATTTGATAATCATGGCACAACTAAGAACTTACAAAAAAGTAAAAGACCTCGTTCCGTAAACACTTCCAAGAATATTAAAATGATCAAAAACTGGGTGCACCTCAATTATCGACCCTCCGTAAGAAAAGTGGCTCGTGACACCGGAATAAGTGAGAGGACCGTCAGACGAATAGCTAAAAATAAACTAGGGTTAATACCCTACAAAATCCAAAAAGCACGACTGCTAACAAAAAAAAACCAAAAAATTTAGACTTGCAAGATACAAACTGCTCCTACAGTGGCACGCATGTCCAGACATTCTTTTAACAGACAAAAAAATTTTTACAATAAAATCCGTTCACAACCATCAAAATGATAGAATTAGGACTACAGAATCTCCTCTTTCCGATAAGCTTATCACACATTCCAAACATCCCCAATCTGTCAAGGTTTGGGCCGGTATTTGTGCGTCAGGCAAAAAACCCCTTATTTTCGTGGATTTTGGTGTAAAAGTCAACAAAGACTATTACTTGCTAGAATTTTTTTAGCGTGTTCTGAAGCCTCGGTTCAAGAGCCATTTCGGTCGCAGAGTCTGGATTTTCCAACAGGACTCTGCTCCGGCACACAAGGCGAAAGAAGTTCAGGACTGGTGCAAGGCCAATTTTCCTGGGTTCATTAGCGTTCAGTAATGGCCGTCCTACTCCCCGAATCTAAACCCGATGGATAATTCTTTTTGGTCTATTTTGGAGTCCAGGGCCTGTGCTATGCCTCATAAAAGTTTGGAGTTTCTGCGTCACTCTCTCACCCGAGGGTGGGACTTAATTACACTCAAGGAGGTGCGTGCTATTTGCGAAAATTTTTCTTCGCGCCTTCGCCTCTGTATCAAAGCCAAGGGTGGGCATCTCGAATTTTCTTGATTATTATTATTCCTTATTTAATTCTCTATCATCTGATTGTATTTCGATTTTATTTGATTGTGTTTTAATAAAGTTATGAGAGAAAACAAGTGTCCGGTTACTTATGGCGCACCCTGTACATATGTTTAAATTATTTAAGATGTACGGTAATCCAAAAATTTATTTAAATTTAAATTAAATTAAAGTACAGTCTTTGTAGATTTTTTTAAATTGATAAATTTTGTATTTTAGAGATCTTAAAGCCCAAACAAAAATTTTTTTTTAATTTTATAACCCGAAAACTAAATTTTTAAAAATCAATTCTTTATTTTTTTATTTTCTCGTTCACTTCCCCAATTTTCCAGTTAAAATTGATTAAAATTTTCAAGATTTTTTTATAAGTTTTTAATTATCAAAACACAAAATTCTAATTAATAATAACAAAGGAAAAAAAATAAGAAGCCATTTAAATATTTTTAAATTAATTCTGAAATCAATATTGTGAATAAATAATAAAGAAGATTTTCTAAAATATTTTTAAATAAAAGTTTAAAAATTTTTTTAATTTTATTTGTAAGAAAATTTAGAATATTTTTGCAAAATAACGAGAAACTAATTCTTAAATAAAAAAATTATTTTTGATATTTTTAATAAAAGGAGGCGTTAGTGTCATCTAAAATTTTAAATTAACAAGACAATAAAAATGTTTAAATTAATATTTTTTATTAAATATATATGTATATTTATGTACATATTTTTAATAAAAGGTAAATAATATAGATTAATTATTTTAATTTAAAAAAGGTCAAATTAATAATTTATATATATAATTTTTATATTTCCTTTTTTAGTTTGCAGGCGCGTAATTTGTTTTATAAAAAATATTTAATTATTTAAAAGTTTTTTGTCTTTATGATAACTTTGTTGAAAATATTTTTTTTAATTTAATAAAATTAAAATAAATAAATCCTTCTCTTATTTTTATTCAAAACCATTATTTCTTTATTGGCTACTTACTTTTTACTTTTTAAAAATATTAACCATCTCCTCTCTATTCTCCTCTTAACTCTTTATATCCCTCTTCTTTTAAAAATCTTTCTAACCGTAAAGTGATTATTATCGTCTAAGCTGTCGAGTGGCCGCCCCTAAAAAATAAGGTTTCTCGCCTTCTTAAGCCTTTTCTCGAGAGGAAGAGAAGGGAAAAGAGCGATTTAAAAGTAAAAAGAAGGCAGGTGTATATCTTTAAACACAAATCTTTTATTTAAAACAACAAAAAATATTTTTAAAGAAGGTTAACTTGGAATTATTTATTAGAATGGATTTTGTTTTAATTTTACATGCATAATTATTGTCATAATAATTTCTAAGTAATACATACATATATCCGCTAAGATTTTGAATTTTTCTTCCAACTTCCATTCTATATTTATCACTAATTTTTAATACGTTTTTAATGATAATTCAATAATTATGAAAACAGACTTGGCAATATAGAATTCTGGTCGTTGATTAATATATTAAGCAATAGGGTTGTCGGATCCGGATATTCGGATACGAAGGCCGGATATCCGGAAATTTTCGGTTCGGATATCGGATATATCCGAAGATCTCCAACTATACGACAACCTTATTAAGCAACATATTATTAAAGAAAAAAGTAAATAGGTATATTTAAACTCTCCTCTCTATATTGTGATTTATTTTAAAATACAGTGGTATACTAGAAAATTTAATTTTTAATTGTTTTATTTAAAATTATTTAATTACTCTTCACTACATTAATTAATATAAAAATATTTAAACGATGAAAACTAAAAATATTTTTGACCTAAAAGAAATAAGAAAATGCGCGAAATTGGCCTAAAAATATTTTTCTGATAGAAAATAATTTTTTGGTGTCTTTTAAATAAAAATATGGGCAGCTGTCCATTTCCTCTAAAGTATAATTAACTTGGTGGTTACTTCTACTACTATTTATAACAATCCTTTCCATTATATTAAAATATATATCTTTACTTCCATTATCCCTTCTTCTCAATACAAGAAAATTAGGAAACGGAAATTAGGAAACATCAACAATTTTCTATCAAAAAAAATGAAAAGTAAGAGGATATATTATTTAAAATAATAATTTAAAACTATTATAATTTATGAAATATTAATTTTTAATTGGAGTTTGTGGAGAGTATTAAATTAAAATTCAAAATTGTTTCTTTAATTTTATTCTTTTTTTACAAAAAATACATAAGCAAATATTTATTTATTGTTGATTACCTAAGTATTCTATTCAGTTTGGCTAGATAATACCCGGAAACTAGAAATGAATAAAATACAGAAATCATCTAATAAATTTTATTTAAAATTTATTAAAAATATTTTTATTTAACCACAAAAAAACAATAAGATACTAAACATTTTAAGTGTAAACCCAGCTAGTTTTGGCAATAATTTTCTATTTGTTTCTAATCTTAAAAAAGCTTTTAGAAAATAAAATGTCCAAATAATTGTGCATTTTCATATCTGTTATAAATTAGCCAAAATTAACTGAGCTTCTTAAATATACAAAGATGGAATAAATATACATTTATATACCTATAGAATAATCAAAAATACATACAATTTATATATAGAAATTATTAGAGAATATTTATTTTATTTTTTTATTGAACATTATCCTGCACAGAGTCTTCACCATTTCCCATTTGAGTCATCTTCGATACTTCCATAGAACGTTGAGTAGGTCCAATAGTTTTTAATTTGCCTTCTTTTGTACCGGGTTTTACATCTGTTTTTGGTTTGATTCCAGGTTTAGGTCCTCTTTTCTTTGTATTTACAGCTGGAAGGGATATTTTTGTAGTGATTGTCTCATATTTATCTTCTGTTTTGACTTTCCTTTTTGGCTTAGGCTTTGCTGGTTCTTTCAATTTTGGATCTGAAGGCTTCTTTGCAAGTGAATATGGAGAAGCTTTTTTGTCTTCTTCTTTTAGTTTTGAACTCTTCTTTCGACAAATGAAGTAGATCAACACACTTGCCAAAACTGATAGAAGACAAACAATGAATACAGTGACAGCAATAATAATCCAAAAGATTTTTGATGAAGAACTACTGGAAGTAGAAGTACTTCCCTCTTCACCGCCTTCTATAGTTAGCAAAGCAAAGTCTTTAACAGACTGAAAAAAGAAAAAATATTTTACAAAATTTAACAAATCTCTTACAAATTTAATATAAAGACTACAACCAGCTTCGTGTCCATTATCATTTAGAAGTGAGGCAGGTAACGGAAGAAGATGAAAAACAAACAAATTCTTCTTTTCTGGATCAGGACTTGTATCTTCCTCAATTTCCCAAATGTTTAGAGAAACAATACTTTTCTCTTTATTTTCAAGACAAGAGAAGGCATTGTTGAGATTAATCTTCTTTGCTCCTTCTTCTAATACATTTTTGAGAGAAATTTTGGGTACTTTTTTGGGTTCCTTAATTTCCATCTCAATTTCAAAATGTTCTCCATTCTCCTCATGTTTTAATGGAAGAAGAGTATTTTGAAGTTCACCAACTAAAAATTTAAAAAATTTTTAGAAGAACACAAATTTCTTTACTTGGTTTGGCAACAAAAGAAATACTTTCATTCGTTCCTTCCCATCCAACTTCAAGTCCCGTCCTTGTAATACATTTATTCTTATCTCCACAGCCTTTACATTCTTTTTTGGAAATTATTGGCCCCGAACGATGTTTTTCAATTTCTTCATTTGTTAAGCCATAAACAAAAGGAATTCTAAAAAATTTTTGGAAAAAATTTCAAGAAAAAATATTTAGTATTTCTCACAAATTGTCAGCTGCAGAGTCTGTCAAACATTCACCGTCATAATTCATTCCAACTTTGAATTTGATACCACTTTTCTTGTTTGTATTGGTAAGCAAATCAACAGTACAACCATCTTTTACAGACCCATCATAATGAATAATGCTTAAAGACGGGAAGAGAATATTTTTCTAAAGAAAATTCCTTACATATCCTTGTCCTCCTTCGCAACATCACATCCACGATCATTGTAATGTTTGACATCTCCAGAGGTTTTGACAACATTAGAACCTTCAGCAAGAATAACTTTGTTGTCTTCATCCAATTTGTGCTCTGCCAGGCCAACAATTTTGCTTTTGGATTCTTTCACTTTTTCCTTTGCGTTGACTTTGAGAGGAAAAAGGAGAAGAAAAACAATGAGCGCCATTGTAGCAGAGGATAAAATCTTGTTGTTGAAGAATTTCATTGTTACTAAATGTTGTTTACAACAATGAACAAAACAAACAAGTCTTTTATACCATTATTGAGTGTTGGACTTTTATGGATTCGGCTATTGTGCCAGAACCCCCAGCTTCACCTACCAGTTTTCTTACGGAAACCTAAGGTAACCCCTTCCAAATTACCAAAAGGGGGCAAGGCTCCAAAAAAAGGGGGCAAAAAGGGAGCGAGATCGGTTAAATAGGGTCACCATGACGAAAATTAATCCTGAAATTTCTTTGAATAATAATTTTATTTTAGAAAAGTCTTGTTTAAATAAATCACGTAGGTAAGGGGGAACTATAAAATAAAATTAGAATAAAATTATTGTCGGTTACCATCTGTCTTAAATTTAAATCCCCTTCTCTCCTATCCAAAAAACTTCAGAATATTATTTAAAATATTTATTTAAGGATGTTAATAACAATTTATATAAATTAAAAAATAAGGCAGTATTTAAAATTAATGAGAGACAGAAAATTATGGCTTAATTTTTATGAAAATAATTTTTGAATTAAGTAATCATTTCTTAAATTTATATAGACAAAACAAACAATCCCAGAGATATATATGTAAAAATATATAAAACTGTTAAGGCATTTGAGAGAAAATGAGAATTAAAAAAATATTTAGAAAAGATGTAATTTTAATTAAGAAATAATTTAATTTTTTACAAACGTTTTTTTCCAAAAATTAATTTTTAAATTACATCTCTAGTATTAATAAATAAATAAGGGATTGAAAAAATAGAAGACAAAAAATTATTAAATTTCCCCAATTGGCAAAAATATATTAAAAGATTTTTTTTGGAAAAGCAAAGAAACAGACAAATTCTAGAAATTAAATTAATTATAATAAATTCACACCTACATATAATTTTAATAAATATTATTTTTTAATTTTTTGGAGAATTTGTCTGTAATAGAATAAATGTGTTAATTACTTTTTCAGAGCTCTTTAATTTTAATTTATCGTTGACCTTCTTGTTCTAAATTAATTAAATTGTAGCAACGAGTAGGAAGCGAATCTAAAAAATAAATTAATTATTTAAAATTAAAAATTATTTTTAAGAAACAATTAGGGGAATGAAATAGTCAAAGTACATATATATCTAGTAGAGATGAGCTGGGTTTGGATTCAGGCCTGGGTTTTTCCTGTACCCAGAGTCCAAAATGCCAGGCAAAAATGCCCAGGCATTTTTTGATCTTCCTGGGGCCCAGGATGAGACCCAGGTAAATAAATCAAACCCGGAACCCAGGAACAGGTCCAGGCTTTTCAAAAATCTCGATCTCTAATATCTAGTATTTATTCGTGTTGGGATTATATAATCAATCAAGAGGTTATTATTAACCCAAAATTTAAAAAACCATCACCAAACACCCACCTCTAATTCCTCTTAAATTTTCCAATTCTTTAGTTAAATAATCTATTTGTCTTTTATCAGCTAAAGCATCAAGTTCAACTCTTTTCATTCTTTCACGCATTTTTTGTTCCTTTTCATTTGCAATATATTGTCGTTCGGTGTCTTCCAAAATTGTTTCTAATTCAGTAAGTTGGGATTCATTAACATTTTCGAGTGAATCTTTAAAAAATATATTTTTCTCTAATTAATTTTTAACAATTTACTAAGTTGATTTAATGCAGAAAATAATATTTTTTCAGATTCTGTCAAATTATCCTGTAAAGTTCTTGCCATACTTTCAGCCAAATTTGCTTTCTTTGCAACTTCATTAGAACGATCCATATCAGAATTTGCCTAGAAAATTTAAAAATTATTTTTTTAATATTTTAATTGAAAGAGGTGGGAAATTTTGGAAAATTGGGAGAAAATGAAAAGGAAATAGTAAAAAAAATTAAATATCATATTGTCAATCTTTGAGATCCGAAACCAAAGAAAGTCCGGGTATTCGGAAATTTTCGGATCGTATCGGTCCCGTTTCCGTGTATCCATAGATTTCCTAGAACCCTTCTTCCATCCTCCTCTTCCTCTTTTTTACCTCATTTTCAAAATCTTTAGTTGTAGTAGATGTTCTATCAATATCTAATTGTAAAGTATCTAATAAATTTTTAATTTCTTCAGATTTTTTATTCGTTTCTTCAGCATTTTCTCCTAATTTTGTTGATTCTTTTTCTAAATTTTCTGCTTTTAATTTCGCTTCTTCGGCAAAATTTCTTGCTTCCTCAGAATTTCTTCTAATGTCTATTAAAGCTAATTCCGCCTCCTTAGCTTGTTCTTCAACAGAAGTTAATTCGTCTTGAATTTCTTGAACGCCAGACAATTCATTTAAAGCGTCAGAACGGGATTGCTCGATTTTTCCGTGGAAATCTTTTTTTAAAAAAAAATAATTAAAATTTTACTATACCATAGAACTATACCATAGAAAATTAAAAGGAATAAAAATCAAGACTACACTCCCCTTCTATAATAGGGGTGCTAATATTCAGAATTAAATTTTCGGTTGTTGACTTAAAGATATTTTAACGAGAATTTAAAATTAAAAAGGTGAGGGAATTAATAGAAACGTTCAAGACTTAGTCTTGAGAATTGATCAAGACTTTTCTTAAGTTTTTTTCAGCCTTTGTCTTGGGGTGAAGTAGTATTAGGTCTTGAGTTTTGGAAAATTTTCAGTCCGGTATATCTCTACGAAATAATTTCAATTAAATTTTTAAATCATTAAAAAATTACCAGAAAGAGCATCATAGGATTCTTTAGCGTCATTCCATATTTTTGTTGCCAAATTAAAAGCTTCATGTGTTCGTTTATGGAAATTATCGATTTCTTCAAATTGTTTATCAATAATATTTTGTTTTTCTTTAACTTTTTCTAATTGGTTTTTAGAATCAATTAATAACTGTCCACTTTCCTCATATAATTGTGCATGTGTTGTTGATCCCAATTCGACCTTTTTAAGAGCTTCTTCCCCGTTAGAATGGACAGTATCAGATTGGGTACGAAAAGAGTCAGGCAAAATATTTGGAAGGCGAACACTAAAATTGAAGAAAAGAATATTTTTTTTTATTTTAAAGTGAAATTAGCCTTTCTTAAAAATCCATTTTGAGAGACAAATTAACAATAAACTTTTCAAAGAAAGTAACCCTTTGGGGAATCATTCACTCGTTCCAGAAATTAAATAAATTTTTTAAGGTGAGTGACCTTATTGTAAACTTAATTAGCGTCATGAACTACCAGATGAAGGATTCTAAACATTATTTCTCCTCCACTATTTGGTAGAGAACCTCCTCTTATGTTATCCATAATCAACCTAAAAATCCTTCCAATTTAACCCTCTTCTCTCACCTTTCCACACTACTCAAAACCCTAGCAGCATCATCATGTGTTTTATTAGTTTCCGCACTTTGTTCCAAAGCCAAATGTTTAGTGCTATTTAAACGTTTTTCTAATTCATTAACTTCTGTTTGAAAAGCAGCAATTCTTTGAACACTACTTGATGCCCCAAAAATAGCTTCATTCGCATCATTAAGTGCTTGCCTAGTTCCATTCCTTACTTTTTCTGACATTCTGAAAATTTCTCTTTTTCGTTGTTCTTGTTGATCGGCAAGACGTTTAGCTTCCTCAGCAAAGTCAGAAAGTTGTTGACTTTTTTCGCCATAACGGTCAGCTGCTTCCTTAGAAAATATCAAAGTAAGTTTTTGGTTAAATTTCACTTTAGATTTAGAATTAAGGTTTACATATATTATAAATAGTTGCCCCAACGTCCGGGGAGGGTATGTGAGATATTGGATGGGGGCTGAAAGGGTTTATCGGTTCAAAAAATTCTTTAAAGAATTCTCAAATTAAACTTCTAATCTCAACTACCTGAGCACTAGCCAAATGTTGTTCTCCCTGTGTTTGCACATAATTAATCCCAACATTTAATTCTTTTGATGTTGCTTCTTTTTCATTGCTAAAACGTTCAAGTTGTGCTTCAATGATTGCTGAATTTGTGTCTATTGAACGTAAATTATCCCGGACATTTTCTAATAAATTGCCAGATTCGGAGAATTGTTCTCTGATGTTAATAACGTGTATTTGGGTTGCTTCATCATTTCCAGCTTTAAATTAAAAAATATTTATTTGAGTCAAATTCCTTAATCTCTCATTTGTTATTACAGCAAAATATAATCATAATCTTTAAATTTAACAAAAAAAATATTTTATATTCACCAAATTTTTGTCCAGCCTTCGCTACTAGAGAGTCTACATCTTCCTTCACACTTCTTACCCGATCATCAAATTCAGCATCATTTACAGTAATTGGATTATTTTGAATTTCATCCAAACTTTCGCGAAGACCTGCCATGCTTTCGTTTATTGAATTCTTTCGAGATTGGATTAAAGCATAACAATCATCGCAAGCTGGACATCTTTGGCGAAGATTGTAACGATTCTTAAAAATTATTTTTTGGTAAAACCAATACTGCACAAATTAAGATAAAGTTCAAGGTCAGTATTTTCAGGGTCAGTCATACTTATTAAAAATAAATTTATTCCTCGCAGGATGTTTAAATTTAGAACTCAGAGTAAATAATTTAAACCCAACTCACTTCCGAGCATTTATCACAACGTCTCCCTTCAACATCTTGTCTACAAAGACATTGTCCTGTATGTGTATCACAGTCCAGCGATTCGGAACCAATAGGATCACAATCGCATTGTTTGCAGCCATCCAAATTAAAACCAAAATGTCGAGGGGCACATTGATCACATTTTCGGCCGGTAACACCAGTTTTGCAGAGACACTTAAAAAATTAAAGTAGAATATTTTCGACTTTAATTTAGTTTTTTCCCAGAAAAATATTTATTATTAGAATAAATACTGAACGAATTAAGGTAAAGTCTAAAGTCAGTATTTTCAGGGTCTTCTTCTAAAAATTAGCAAGAACAATCCATCTACCTTTTCTAAAAATTTAATTAATCATTCACCTGTCCAGTAATTAAATCACAAACACCAGCATCCAAACTACCCAATGGATCACAACCACAAGAAT